ATTATTATATATATATATATATATATATATATATATATATATATTATTTTAGCTCTCTTTTTTTTTCTAGGTGTGCAAAATTTTTACAAACTTTTCCTTTATCAGAAGCTATTATGAATAGTTGTAATAGTGGTAAACCAATTATATTATCTGCACCAAAAAGTATACAAACTGATATGTATAAACATTTAGCAGAACATGTAATTTTTTTTTTAACTAAACAACCATTAAATATAAAATGATAATTTTATATTTTATTTTAATTATTTATTTCAAGTTAATTTCAAATATTAAATTATTTCAAATATTAATATTTAAAATATTCTATTATTCATTTAAATATATAAAATGTTGAAATAATTACACAAATCACATCATATTCAAATCAGAATATTTTGATATATTTATTGTAATTATTATTATTGTCATCATCATTCTATCTTTCTTTATGTTTTATCCCCTCTCTAAATATTTCTGATTCATTTTATAGAAGATTTCATAGTTAATCTAGTCATAGTCTGTCTTTTAAAAGTACGTAATCTTAATTTATTTTAATATATTCTATATTTATTTATATTAAAAATATTATATATTACTTATTAATTATATTGTAAAATTAATAAATAAAGAATTATATCTTACAATATTAAAAATAAAAACGTATGTTTAAATAATCAACAAACATTTAAACTAACCTAAGTATATTTTATTTTTTAGCTTTTTGCAATTCTTTTATTAATGTTTATATTAAGTCAACTTGTTATATAAAAATATTTACATAAAAATATGCAAATAATTAAATATATAAATCACATCTTTAATTTTTAATTATTCATTATTATTTATTAATTATATTATCTTATTTATAATTAAATACTGCATTTTTTATTTTATTTTATAATTTTAGAATCTAAAATGAATACTGATTCTATTAGCATTCATTCTAATATAAATGCAGAAATTTATGATATTCCAATGAATGTACTTATTCGACCTATTCCTCCAATTATTAATGAAGAAAAGGTTCAAAGTTTAATAAATGTATTAAGCAATCCTGAAACAGAAACATTCGTACCACCAATCGATGTTTTATGGATTAAAGGAAGCGAAGGTAATAAGAATTTTCTTTTTTTTATTCATAACATATATTAAAGAAATAGCAAAGAAAAATATCTATGCTATCGAGTTAATGAAAAAATTATATTGATCTTTGACTGTAAGATAAATAATTTCATATAGTTTATACTAATACTATATATTATGATAAATATTTATGATAAATTTATTTTATAAAGATAGAATTCTACCGTTTACAAAATATTTTTGTTTATGTTAAATTATGTTTTTATTAAAGCAACAATGAAAAACATTTTGTTAATATTTTATATTTTTTGAAAAAATTGTCGAATATTTTAGATATGTAGATTTTTTTTCACATTTCTTATCAGCAACAAATGTCATCTATTTTTATTCAAAGATTATAAAGTTTATATATATATATATATATATATAATAACTCGAGACAAACAAAAATAAATG